CATGTTTTTAATAATGATTATTCGTAGTATTTTGGGGGAAGTCAATTTGTAATTTTAGTGTCTTTAATCTTATTACTGATTCTTTATGTATTAATTTATTGATAATATTACAAGTATTATTTCTACATAAATTAATTCTCTACTTTGTATTAACTTCTCTTGTAATTATTTATATTTATTTATTTTGTAAATATAATTTAATTCTTTATTTCTCTCTTGACATATATCAACATCATTAATATCTCTTTTTTTTCTTTGATGATTTGATAATATATATCTGATATTCTAGTATTAAAAGAATGGTCACTAATTTTATTGTAAGTTATAACCATTTCATTATTATTAATACACTTAGGAGGGGCATTAAAATCTATTTCATCAAATTCATTAAAATGGGTAATTAATATATGTTTATTTATTTGTTTACATACATAATCATGTTTTGATATTTGATTATTCTTCATTACAGGACATCATAACAATATATGGATAATAGATAAAATAATGTTATAACAATGTTTACAATATTTTAATATATTAATAAGAAGTATTTTAGATTTGATATTTCCTGTCATAATTACTCCTTCTTGCATCTTTACTATTTGGAGGAAAACATTTCTTTTTATATTTAATGACATCCATGTAGTTACTGATAATTTCATAATATTAAATATACAATTTATATTTATTATATATTCACTACACTTATTTCCATTTAAATATTTTTCATTTATTTTATTTGTTACAAATTCAAATACTTTGCTTACATCATATCTTCTTTCATTTATTTGTATTATATTCATTTATTGAAATTAATCTTATTATAAAATGCTCTTTTCATTCTTTTAATTATTCATTTTATATTCTCTTTTACTATTTCTATCATTTAATTTAATATTGTATACTTTTATCTTTATTTGTTATTCTTTATATATTCTTTGTATTTTTATTATGAAATTTATTTCTATTGTGATGTAGTGTTTGTTTTTATTTAAATTTTTGTTAAAATACTTATGATGTAATGAGTAAATATTAAGAAATAGTTTGTACCATTACATAATAGTGATTATATTGTAATATTATTTTGTAATTATTTTATTCTGGTAGATAATGAATGTTTTCCTCATTATTCTATCATTTAGATTTGTTGAATGATATTAATTTCTCCTTTTTTGTTACATGATTTTGTGTAAATTATTTAACATCTTATTTTAATAGATCTTCCTTGATGTTGAAAATAAATTGATTAAAATGAAATGAATGTTTATATTATTATAAAATTCGTTAAAAATTAATTTACATATTTGATAAAATTTGAATATTTAGATAATTAATAAAACAGTAAGAATACAACTGTTATTATTAAGATAGATGTTGAAAAAAGAGAATATTAATTTTTAAGTTAGTAACTCGTAAATAGTTTCTTCTGTTGTTGAATAAACAATAAAAGCAAGTTAAGATAGTTTATAAAAAAATGAATTAGAAGTAAAGAGTGAATTAGATTAAATATTAATACTCATTTGTAATATCTATCTTTTTTTTCAAAATTTTATATTATTGTGAATATCTGTATTTTTTTTATTGTTTACAATAATAACCATAATTAAATTATTATCTTTTACATCTCTAAAAAACGGACATTAAAAATAAACTTCTTTTCTTTATTGATCAATTTTCTTTATTTAGTAAGATATAACTTTTAGAACAATAAATCTTGTTCATAAAAAGCTTATTTATGGCTGCAACAATAGAATTTAGAATGAAATTTATTTTTTAACTGTACAATTTTTTTCATAATTTTATATTGTAGATAAGAAGTTTAACTTATTAAATTGCATGAATAATAAAAAAGATTATTTACAATGTAAACTTGTCTTAGTTTTGATATATTAAATATCATATATATAAATAGAATTTTTGTATAGTTATAGCGGATTATTTATGTTTGATTAATTTTATTTATAACGACAATAAATATAATAATAACAGAAATATTTATCTAACAAATAATCTTATTTCCATAATCTTCTTAAATATTTATTGATAATGTTACCAAAAAAGAGATAGAAGTAAAAAACTTCATTTAGAAGAAGATACCCACAATGATAGCAAAGAATACAATGAATGGAATTGATGCATCACCAAGCCTGCTATGATCATCTGAACTATTTCCTTGTTTACTGTTTGAGATTTCTTCTGGTTTATTATTTGAGTTCTGATCAAACACCTAAACCTTCTTCTGATGTACCACCTGATCTACTTTCTTTATCTTCTTCATTTTTTTCATGAATAGAATCATTCTTTAAAAACATACTATAAATCTTAGTATATTTTACTTCTTTGTTAACATCAAGAATGATATTGTTTCCTACTGCTAAAGCAATAGACAATAAAAATACGAACATTGAATAATTCTATTTTTCAGAACTTCGTTCAGATATGTCTTATATCACAATAACTAGTCATTTTTATTGTCTAATAAATACCATTTTATTTGAGTTGAAATTAATATGCCCTCTTCTTTTCATCCATTAATTTTTGTTCTTATCTTCATAAAGATTTCCTAGTGTTTCTAACAAAAAAATATACTAATGAGAAAAATTTTCAACTTTTTAAAATATTTTATTGGTAATTTTTATTCTCCTTAATTCAAAACGAATGAGAGAATTTAAATTGGGTTGGGTTAACTTGAATAATTCAAGTTTAGATAATCAAAAAAAATAAAAAGGCATTAAGAAATAAAATATAATTAAATGTTATAATTTTTCATAATAATATTATAGTTTAATATTATAAATAAAAATAATAAATTTTATCAGTTTTAAGAAAAATGAGAAATTAAGATGAAATAGTTAAAATATTGTTAATAAATAATTCAATTTAATAGTTTTATTATTCAATTTATTTTTATAAAATATTAATTTTGTTTTATTTTCTAAAGTTGTAATTCAGTAAAATATTCTTATGAGTATTATGTTAAATTATCATTACTTTATCTTCTTAACTTTCATTGATTTCAGTTGTATCAATAAGTTGTTCATTAGTTTTTATCTCGTCATTGGTTACTTATTGTATTATCAATTTCTGCTTAATTTTCTTAATTTTCTTCTTTTAATATTGTATTTCTTATTCTATACTTTTCTCTTCATAAGAGTGAGGTATACTTAAATAACAAGATATCATATCATTAATTAAATATTAATCAATATTAATAATATCCGTAATATTATTCAATTTTTATTAACTGATTACCTGTGATTGTAATACTTTTCAAATATTTGTTTTAAGCCAATTAAAATTAAGTAATTAACTCCAAAATTAATGAACACACTTTATGATATGATATTTGATACATTACCATTATACACATCAACACGTACTTTAATTCTGGAGAAAATAAAAATGTTCTTCTTAACACATTATTATCATTTGATAGCCCCACTGATATGATTAGTTATTGAATCATATTTAATTTCACATAAATTATCTATAAGTTATTATAGCAGAAATCAAATGAGAGACATACAATGTTTTATTTTCAATAAGAAATATTAAAATTGGAATATGTTCAATTCTATATAACAATTAACTGGTTTTGAAGTATTTATAATTTGATTATAACATTATCTTCAGACTATTTTGTGATAGAAAATAGTAATTTAGCACTTTTACAGATTTGAATCAATTAAAACATTACTATACAATTTAAATATACTAACAAAGTTTTTAAGTGTTCATCATTATCAAATTTAATATTCACTTCTCATTTCGTGTTATTGATAGTATATCATAAAACACATTCATAAAGATGATAAATGAATTATAGAGGTAGTATTAGAAGTAATTAAGTAATGATGGTATTCAAATACAATTATCTTTCATTAAATTAATAATAGATTAAAGTAAAATAACTGGTTAAAGTAAAATTTTATAATTTATAATATAAAAATTATTATAATATCATTTATTGGATGTCAATTCTTTACTATCTTTTTCTTGTAATTTATAATAAATGTTATTATTTAAAAAAAAACAAATGAGTTTTAGATATTTTTATATTTAATGAGTGATAAATTATTATTGATTATTTATTATCTTATTATCTTATTTGATTGTTTATTTATTTAATTGTTTATTTTTATTATTTTATTATTCATTAAATTTGATTTGTTATTTTATTTATTCATTTTTATTTCATTTTATATTTATTATTTTATTTACATTAATTATTAGTTATTAAATGAAATTCAATTTTATTGATATTTTTAATATTTATTATCACCTCTTCATTTGTTATATCCTTTCAATTTCATTTCTTCTTTATTTCCTTTTTATATTTAATTATATTTTTATATTCTATTTGTTTATTATTATTAATTTATATTCTAAATATCAAATAATAATTTCATTGTTAATATTACCACTTATTTTATTTCTTTATTCTTTATTATTTAAATTATTTTTTATTAAATATTTAAGATGTTATTTTCAATTTCATTTACATCAGATCATATTTGTCCAAATCTAATATGAATGAGCTGACACTTTATCATTATTACAAATTGATGTTCAAAAACAAATTAACATAAATAATGTTTCAATCATTTTATCAGTTATTGTACTAATTTATTTTATTGTTTTTATTTTCTTACTTGAATTATTCTTTTTATATTTTCTTGTCTTTAATTTCATTAATTAATGTTTTAAATTAATTTAATTTTAAAATAAAATATAGAATAAAATAAAACTAGAACTTAAAAATATATAAGAAAGAAAAAATAAATTAATCTAAATAACTTTTTCTAAATGAATTTTGACAAGTTTGAACGCTATACAAAGTATAGAAATTTAGCAATTCAAAGAATTTATTTATAATGAACGGTCTTTGATCAAAATAGAAAACTCAAAATATAAATAAATCAATAGAATTAAAAATTAATAATTTTTCAAGTAACTTTTTAATGAAAAATAACCCAAATTAATTTAATTGTTAAAATTTATTAGTCTTTAGCTTCTTTATAATCAATAATGGCTTCCATTCCCATAGCAGATTGAACAGCAACAATGAGTTCTTTTCCATCATCATAATCAGCTTGAATCTTTTGTCCCATTTCACCTTCTGGGAGTTTCAGATCATCTCTTGTTTCTCCATTATCAAGAAGGAGTGATGCATATCCATCATTAACACCAATAAGTGAGAATTCTGTTCTCTTTACTTCTGGGACTTCAACGTTATGAGTTGATGGACAAGAATCATCAAGTCTCTTTCCAGTAAAAATATCATAACCAGCAAATGTGACTTTAGCGTGTCCATGTTTTCCAGTCTTTGAGGTTGACATTTCAAAAACTTTGCATGGTCTTCCTTTAATAACAACATAACCACCTTTTCTTAAAGCAGAACATTGGCATGGATATACTCCAGAGTGTTCAGCATTTCCTTTTTCAAATTCATTATCACTTCCACCTGAAGACATCTTTTATTAATTCTTTCTCTAAAGTTCCTCTCTTAAATATACCATTTCAGGGTTTCTTTTCGTGTTTAACGAATCTTTTAGTTTTCATTTATAGTTATGTTTAATAAAATCATTTCTTAAATTTTCGATCAGGAAAATGAAAAGATTGCCCTCAACTAATTGTTTCATATTATTTTATAAATTATTTTTTTTAATAATTATTTAGTTTATTAAGATATTCTAATCACTTCCATGACTTTTTTATTTATTTCTTAGATTGAACGATTTTTCATATTTTGAGGTTTTTATTTTTTGAACTTATTAATAAACATAAATTGAAAATGAAAGAATACAAATGAAATTTGATATTTTTTACATTTCAGAGTCATGTGAATTGAGAGAATCTTGTTGACTTGTTGAATCTTTTTTGTCTTTCTTTTCCCTGTGGAAAAAAGAAAATCCCCATTTTTTCTTTTTAATAGATCCCATAGAATCAGATCTTTTTGGTAATGCTAATGTAACTTCATTAATTGTTCCTTCTTGAACACTTCCAACTGAATAAATATCTTTAAAACTTCCTGTTAAATTTATGTTACTAGAATTTCTTGTTATTTTCTTTGATGTGATTAAATTTTTTGATTTTTCTTCTGCCTTATCAAAAGATCGTTCTTTACTACTTTCTCGACTATTTGCTTTAATTGCTTTCTTTTCTTCTTTTTTTCGTTGTTTTTCCTCTTTCTTTCTTTCCTTTTCAAGTTGTTTTTCTCGTTCTTTCTCTATTTTTTCTTCCATTTTCATTAATTTATGTAATTTAGATGCAGAACTTGTTGTTTTTCCAGGTGATGATTCTAATGATGTAGGTAATGAAACACCTTTCTTTTTGTCATTGTGTAGTGTTGGTACTATTCTTCTTGGATTAGACTTTATTAAACCAGTTCCAGTCTCTTCTTTAGTTTCTGTTTTAAGTGTTGTTTGAAACCGTAATATTGGTTGGTCAACTTTAACAGAAGTTGCAAGGAAATATCTTGGTAATGTTTGTTGCCGATGGATATAGTCCAGACTAGGATCTGGAAGTGGAATAAATACTGATGAGAGTGATGGTGGTGTAATTGTTCCACGTAATGGAGAATCAGCTAATATATTAACTACATGTCCATGATCAAGAGCAGTTTTATATATTTTAAAGTATTGTTGAGTATTATAACATCCACGAATATATCTTAATTCTGGAATTTCTTTTAACATAATGTTAACAAAATCGTTTTGTTCTAAACTAACAGTTTTACCATATTCTATGTATGGATACAATCGAGGAGGTAGAATATATTCTTCAAGTGGTCTATCAGTAATAAATGGATGATTAAGTGCTTGGTCAGGTGTTAATCGTTCTTTAGGATCATATGCCAAACACCGTTTTAAGAAATCATAAAGAGAATCTCTAACATTATCTGCTGATACTGGTTCAGCATTTGAGACTCTCATTTGATTTAATGAAATTAATTCTTTTAATGTTTTGTATTTAAAATAACTTTTATTTGGTGGGATTTTACAATTATTTTCATATTCATATTCAAATTGTTCTTTAAACAAATATGTTCCTTCTTCGTTATAAAAAAATTTGTGTGTTTTAGTTCCTCTTTCAAGCATTTCTATTGGTGGTGTTCCAAGCATTTCAATCATTTTAAATAATAAGTTATATTCACTTGTTGCTCCAAAAAGAGGATAACCTAAAAAGAATTCTGCTGTCATACATCCAACTGACCACATATCAATTGCACATGAATATGGAAGTCCTAATACAATTTCAGGTGCTCTATAATGTCTAGATTGTATATAAGAATACAATGTATAATTTTCAAAACAAGCTGAACCAAAATCAATCAGTTTAACTTTTGATGTTTGTCCAACTAATAAAACATTTTCAGGTTTAATATCACAATGGACAATATTACCTTTAGACAATACAAGTAATGCCCTCAAAATTTGTTGAACAAATTTACGAATTGTCTGGATAGAAAACCCATGATTTCTGTTTCTTCTCATAAGTTCATATAAATCAAGGCTATCTCTTATCAGTTTTTTATTTCATCATATATTATCATCACTTTGGTATGATTACAAACCAAAATAATTAAAACAATTAATTGTGATTTGCAATATAAAAAAAAAAGAATCTGACAAACCCAAGCATTTCAGTGACTATACAAATATGACCATAATACATAAAATAATCTAACATTTTTAATATTCTACTATGTGGAGAATTATCATAATAATCATTTAACTATATGATGAATATCTTTCTTTCTATAATTTTCAAATTTTAACTTTGTATAATTAAAAATAGAGATAAATACTTACAAACGAAATGTAGAACTGTCACTTCAATCAACGACTGTTTAAAATATGCTGGTTTGTTTTTTAAAACTTTAATGGCTACATACTTGTTTGTACTTAAATCAATGCATTTAACAACTTGACCAAATGTTCCTTGACCAAGTAATTGGACAACTCTATATCGTGTTAATGTTTTTTGATCCATAGAAAACTGAATTCCTTCCATTGAAGTTGCTGACCCAATAATATCATCTATCCTAATAATCAAATCCCCTGTTTCATTATCAAGACCATAATTACTCATTGGTATACTTGGTTGTGTCAATATTTGATTATTTGTTTTATGACAATGTTGCATAGTGTTTGAATATCCAATGGTCATTTTTTTAATAACCCCTTCAACACGAGCCATTGGTGCACATGGGGTGATGGTAACAGAAACAAATAAGCTACTCATTAACTTCTTTAGATGAATAAATTCAATTTTTATTCTTTTCATATATTTACTATATATTATATTATTTATATTATATTTTATGGTTTCACTGTCTTCACTCTTCTTTTCGTTTTTAAGTTTTTGTTTTAAGGAAGCTTCTATTGATTAAGTTCTATCATCTTGAAATTAATTGTTTCAAATTTTTCATAACTTGTTTTATTTTTAAATACATTATGATTATTAAGAGGATAAATGAGATGAAAAGAATAAAAGGAAGCTAAACAAACACTAAAGATAATGTCATAATTTAAAAAGGAGAAAAAATCAATTAAGCATCAACTTTATTTTTTAATCTTCTAAGTTCATCAGTGAATTTAATATTGTTTCCAATAACAGCACATGAACATTTAGCAATATTGACAGCAACTCCATCTCTGATTTTGCATTGATTAGTCCATTCACCAAGTTGAATCTTTTCTGGGACTTTAACGATTTTGATTCCTTGTTCTTTGCAAATAGCAGTAAGAAGTCCAGTGTATTTATCATTGTCACAGTCTTCAGCAATGAAACAGAAGAGAGCCTTCTTAGCTTCAATAACTTTAAGGCATTGTCTAATTCCTTTAGTTAAGATGTTTTGTGCTCTTGCTTGATATAAGACAGCTTTAATGTCTTTTAATTCTTGTGGGAGTTCTTGAATTTCTTGTGGAGTTTGATTTTCGTCAGCCATCTTATTCAATTATGAGTGACATCTAGGTTTTCTCTTATAATATCTTTTTTTTACTATATTTTTTCTATTCTTCTTTTCTTCGTTTTATTTTTTGTTAAATAAAACAAAATAGTTAAATAAAAAGAAATATAATATTTTCATAAAGTATTGTGACTGGATTACAATGATGAAGGTAATTGGGTTTGTTTGGTTATTAATACAACTGCTATTACATTTTTAATCAAAAGAAATTAGTGTTAATAAAAGTCTAATGGCTGAACCTTTTTTAAATTTTATAACGTTATTTTTTATCAATAATTGTACAGAAATTGCACTGTGATGAGATACTTTACAAAGAATATCAAATTTAAAATAAGGCCAAGAAGTAGTGAATTCGAAAAAAGTGGACCAATAAAATAACAAAAGAAACCTATGTCGTGTTAATGGGATATTGCTTCATCAATAAAATCAAAAACTCTTTAAATAAAGAAGTTTTTTTGCAATTATTCAAGTCTTTTGAATTAGTGATTGAAAATATTTATTAAAAATATTTTCCAATCATTTTGATTATTATATTTCATTCTTATTAATTTGTTATTTTAATAAACAGAGAAAATAGAATGATATTGTAAAATAAGTTAAAAATTTTATTATAAATAATTGTACTTTAAAAAATATTGATAACTCACTCTTTTAATTTGAATTATTCTTTTTAATATTATTTTATAAAGTATAGACACCATCATAATATGCAATAATCATAATAATTAATCTATAAAATATGAAATATCTTTCTTACTTTCCTTAAAAAGTTTCATACCATTGTCTCTACACCGAAATTAGAATGGTATTAACTCCGTAACATAAGAAAATAAAATTAATACTTTATACCATAATATAAATTATTATCCTTTTTATTTTTTTTATTAGTTTAAATGAAAATAATAATATATTTAGTACTTTGATTATAACCCTTTTAATTCCTTTCTCTAAATTATTAATTTGTTTAAGGTTTGTTATTGTTTATTTGATTCTTTTATACAGTAATAATTTTGTATTTGTACTATTCCGAAAATTGTTTGTTTGACTTACTAAATAAGTATTAATGGTTTAAGAGTCGTCGTAACCAAGTTATTTACATATACTTTATTTAAGTGTTATGTTTCATTAGGAGATACATAGCCTAAGTTAAATGTCATTTTCTAAGTGATACACCATTGGTATATTTTATAAACAAATATGAGTAAATTTTTAGTGGTATGTATAGTAATGAAGAGATGATTTGATCATTATAAGGAATTCTTGGTATGAGGTTGTTGTGTTATAATATTGTCTTTAGTTGTTTGTTGTTTTGTTAACGAAAATGAGTGATAGTTATTTTCATATAAATCAATCAATTAGTAGTTGTTGGTTGTTCTTTTTGTTTAGTTTCCTGTTCTTGCATAACTTTTTTCCATTCATCTACAACTACAGAAGAACAATCTTTGTTAATTAAAGTGTCTGATGTAAAATTGTGTGTCAAAATTAATGCATCTTCGCCATCAAGATAATAATGTTTAGAAACTTTAGTTACACTAGAAAGAAATAAGACACAATTTTACTTTAAACAAATCAAATGATTATCAAAAATAATGAAACAAACGTAAATCCAATTGTTTTTTCATATAAATGTAAAGCTGGTTTATTTGAAACTCTTACTTGAAGCATCATTGCTCTAGCACCAAAGATTTCAATCATACTATTTTCTGCAGCTCGAATTAATTTGGTTGCAATACCTAATCTTCTGTATGTTCTTAAAACACTAATAGAAGTAACTTGTCCTGTAACAACTGGATGAGGATCATCATCTTCACTATATATAAATAACTAGTAGATAATATAAAAAATAGATACAAACATTTTAGTTAAA